TAACGTAAAGGTTTTTAAAAAAAGGGCTAAATAAGCTAATATTTACTACTCTTTAGAACTTATAAAGATTTTTTTTATTCTTATTATTTTTAATATTACTTAAAACTACTCTCTATTTAAACTAAATAAATTTACTAAATAAATTTACTAAATAAATTTACTAAATAAATTTACTAAATAAATTTACTAAATAAACCTATTAATATATAAATTACTACTTAAATAGCTAGTTAAATAACTAGTTAAAAAGTTAGCTAATTAAAATACTATTTTAATAAGAACCTACTTTTTTAATATATAATTAGTAATTAATAAGCTAAAAATACTTATTAATAAATCGGCCCCTTTTAAGCTAAGTACTCTTAATTAGCTTAACGTTATAACTATTATAACTAATATAAATATATTTAAAAAGTAATAAAGTACTTTTTAATAATATAAAATTTAGCTAAGTAATATTATAAGTATTATAAATAACTAAGTTAATACGAATATTAAGATTTAATATATTAATACCGGCCTAGCTATAATAATTATAATAAACGAGTTAGAAATATATAAAATTAAAATAATAAATTAGCGTTTTAAATAGCTTTTATAAAACCCCCTAAATAATAATAATATTTATATAAAAAAATAAATTATATTAAACCTAGCTATTTATATAAACTAATACTAAAAAGTCTTATATATATTAAAATAAATAAAGCTCGCTTTATAAATAACTAAAACTTAAAAAAACTATAATAAAAAGTTAAGAACTATTTTAATTAATAATTAAATATAAAGCGTATTATATTTAGTTTTCCTTAATACGTAATATATAATACGGCCTTAGTAAATTATTCTATCAGAAGGATTATAAATACTATAAATAACTAAGTTGATACGAATATTAAAATTTAATATATTAATATTAATTTAATTATAATAATTATAATAAACGAGCTAAAAATATATAAAATTAAAATAATAAATTAATATAACCCTAAGCTCTTATAAAACTTTTTAAATAATAATAATATTTATATAAAAAAATAAATTATATTAAACTTAGTTATTTATATAAATTAATATTAAAAAATCCTATATATATTAAAATAAATAAAACTTATTTTATAAATAAATAATAAAAAGTTAAGAACTATTTTAATTAGTAATTAAATATAAAATATATTATACTTAGTTTTTTTTAATATATAATATATAGTAATTTTTTTTCTGGCTTTATAAGTATAAAAAATCGACCTTAACGGGATTACGCTTTTAAAAGAAATTATATAATATAGTATACTTTTTAACTATATAATACGCGCAATATATCCTAAATACGTACTTAACGTAATATAATAATTTCGATATAAAAATTACTATTTAATTTAGAATAAGTAAGCTACTCTATAATAGCGCTAGCTAAAAAAGTTAATAATAAAAATTAGCTATAATAGTTAGCTACAATAGTTAGCTATAATAATTAGCCGTAATAATTAGAAATAGCTTTCCTTAACTATAAAAGTTCTAAATTTTAATAATAACGTAAAAGTTTTTAAAAAAAGGGCTAAATAAGCTAATATTTATTACTTATACTAGAGCTTATAAAAATTCTTTTTATTCTTATTATTTTTAATATTACCTAAAACTACTCTCTATTTAAACTAAATAAATTTACTAAATAAATTTACTAAACAAATTTACTAAATAAACTTATTTATATATAAATTACTACCTAAATAGCTAGTTAAATAACTAGTTAAAAAGTTAGCTAGTTAAAATACTACCTTAATAAGAACCTACTCTTTTAGTATATAGTTAGTAATTAGTAAGCTAAAAATACTTATTAATAAGTCTACCCCTCTCGGGCTAAGTACCCTTAGCTAGCTCGATATTATAACTATTATAATTAATATAAGTATACTTAAAAAGTAGTAAAGTACTTTTTAATAATATAGAATTTAGCTAGGTAATATTATAAGTGCTATAAATAACTAGGCTAGTACGAATATTAAGATCTAGTATATTAATACCGGCCTAGTTATAATAATTACGATAAACGGGCTAGAAGTATATAAGATTAGGGTAATAAGCTAGCGCTTTAAATAGCTCTTATAGGACCCCCCGGGTAATAATAATACTTATATAAAAAAATAAATTATACTAAACCTAGTTACTTACGCGGGCTAGTACTAAAAAGTCTTATACATATTAAAATAAATAAAGCTCGCTCTATAAGCGAATAATAAAAAGTTAAGAGCTATTTTAATTAATAATTAAGTATAGAGCGCAATATACCTAGTTTTCTCTAATACGTAATATATAGTACGGCCCCAGTAAATTACTCCGTTAAGGAGTTAATATATAATATATAATACGGCTTTAATAAATTATTTTATTAAAAAGTTATATTATTTTTATAAATATTAATAATTATTTTTAAATATTATATTATAAATCTTTTTTATATTTTATACGTTTTTAATATTATATTAATTATATTATTCTTTTTAAATTATTATTTTATTAAAATTAATTTTTTATATTTATAAAATAAAAAAGAATTATTATATAATATATTATTTTATATTTAATTAAAATAAGTTATAAATATAATTTATTAATTATAATATTAATATATTAATATTATTATTAAAATAAGTTATTTATTAATTATATTAATATATAAAATATATAAGTTTATTTTAAATTTAAATATTTTTAATTTATTTAAATTTATTTTATTTTTATATTTCTTATTATATTTTCTTTTATAATTTTATAACTTTATAGCTTTAAAGCTTTATAGCTTTAAAACTTTAAGCTTTAAGGGTTTATAGCTTTATAATAATATAATATTATAGTATTATAGCTTTATAGCCTCATAGCTTTAAGGCTTTAAGGGCTTCAGGGGCTTCATAGCTTCAAGGCTTCAAGGCTTCATAGCCTCAAGGCTTTAGGGGCTTTATAGCTTCATAGTCCCACGGCCTTAGGGGCTTCATGGCTTCATGGCCTCATGGCTTCATGGCTTCATGGCTTCATGGCTTTATGGCTTCATAGCCTCAAGGCTTTAGGGGCTTTATAGCTTCATAGTCCCAAGGCCTTAGGGGCTTCATGGCTTCATGGCTTCATGGCCTCATGGCCTCATGGCCTCATGGCCTCATGGCCTCATGGCCTCATGGCCTCATGGCCTCATGGTCTCATGGCTTCATGGCTTCATGGCTTCATGGCGTTATAGCTTCATAGCCTCAAGGCTTTAGGGGCTTTATAGCTTCATAGCCCCAAGGCTTTAGGGGCTTCATGGCTTCATAGCCTCATGGCTTCATGGCTTCATGGCTTCATGGCTTCATGGCTTCAAGGCTTCAAGGACAAGACTTCAAGACTTCAAGATCTCAAGGCTTTAAGACTTCAAGGACAAGCCCTCAAGGCTTCAAGGCTTTAAGGCTTCAAGATCTTGTAGCTTTAATACTTCAAGGCTTTAAAACCTCAAAGCTTTATAGCTTCAAGACTTCAAGGACAACTCTCCAAGGGTTCAAGACTCTAAGGCTTCAATACTCCAAGACTCCAAGGCTTCATAGCTTTAAGACTCCATAGCTTCATGGTTGTCAAGGCCGTGAAGGTCGTGAGGATCGGCGGGGTATATGTCTTCACGGCCGTGGAGCCTACAGGCCGTCCCGGTGAGGGTCTCATGGCCGTGAAGACGGTGGGTGCCTCCGTGGCAACTGGAAGCAACCATGACGTTAATGTTCCATGCCTTTAGAAGGCGAGGCGGGTTTATGAAAATAATTAGTTCGTGCCCGTGTTAGAACCAACAGATCCGTCGGTCTATACTGGGCGGTTTGATAGTCGTCATCATACTCCTCTTCAATGGTCGTTGAGCAGACCTTTTGTCGGGATCATTCATACAGATTGTACTTCGCGGTACGAGGCCTCTAATATCATCATAAGAGAAGTTAGTAATAGGCGGCTATGGGCTAGTTATCAAGGTACCTTAATATAGAGTCAGCGTAGGAACAGGCAGAGCGATCACCTTGGTAAGACTTTGATATGTGATAACAAGATGGGACTGCGGTATGGCACTCAGTCAGGGATGAAGTAATACGAACGGGACTCTTATAGTAGAAGAGCTTGAATACTATACAAATGGTAAGATGGCGACGTCTCCGTGATAACTAGAGACCGACGGGTACACAGGTGGCATGGTCAATGGATATGAAATGGGATAGGGCTAGGTAACGTGGTCAACCATGAATGCCATCAACGATGCTTAGATAACGAGGACCAATAGGCCGAGGTGGGGTAAAAGAGTGTGTCGGTATGGGAAAGACATAGATGTGTATTAGACTGCGTATGACGGAAAAGAATCACGACATGGTCGTTCTTGGATATTCTAGCAGAGAGCTCTACCACAAGGAAGCCGACCGCGATGCCCACACGGAGGCTGTATTAAAACGGACCTCATCCTGGACTGATTGACATAGGCCAGGTATTGCGAAATGCAGAGAGATTCGATGATTGAACAGTTCGTTTAGCAGAGCCGGTCGGTCGAGGGCTCGGGAAGGGACACATCTTCACGGCCGTGGGCTCAGTTCCAGTTGGCCACGGATCCCACGACCGTGAAGAAGTGGATCAGACGCTTCAAGCGAGCACCGCCATAGACTCGGGCTAAAGCGGCCACGGCCGCCACGGTCGTGAAGGGTACGATCAGACATTTCGGGTGGGCATGAGAGGTCGAATCAAAGTCGGAGCGTCTGGGTCTTCACCTGCTCGATCGGTGTCGATGGTTCGTCGAATTGTCGTACGCACTTCTGCAACGGCAAAGTATTGGAGTCACGGAGCATGGGATCATGAAGTTTTCTTTATTGTCAATGTATTAGCGTGAAGGCCCAGCAACTATGTGACAAGGTTGGTATGATGACCTCCCCTCTCCTGGCCCCCCAATCGCGTCACGGTGTTCCTTGTTTCTCAAAAAGTCTTCCTAATCATACACGATCCTCCTGTCCATCATTCTACCCGAGCATTTCATCTTCGATATCCCCGTCGTATTCAAGCTTGCGTCGCTTGGTCTTGGCCTGGGACTCAGGCGAGACATCGCCATCCAGTGCATCGACGACATGGCGTTTAGTGCTGCCACTTTTCAGAAAGCGTATGCGCTGAGATTTGCGCGGCGGGGCTGGCGGCGGCAACATGGCCTCGCGCAAAGGGGACGACTTCGCAGCATCAGCATCGGAAGACAGCTCCTGAGATGGATTTTGCGGTGTCTCTCCAAAGATGCTGTTGCCATCGTACTGAGACGTCTCCTCATCTTTCTCAGTTTCGTTGTCCTGTCCGGGCTGTTTATGCTCGATGCCACCTTGAGTACCGTCAATGTCCATCTGGTAGTCGTTCGTGGGTTCGCTAGCCGCTTCGCCAGGCACTTCTTCCGATCCGTCCGAGCCAAGCTGGACGTTGGTGGACAGCTGTGAGGAAGCCAGCGGCAGGTTGTCGTCAAGTGCCATCGCGTCCCCATCGTTCGAATCCTAGTCGTCGTTCGGGTTGGCGATGGTCAGCTGCACGTTCTGCCTGGACTTGTCGAGCAGCGTCGCCGAAGTTGTGTCTACGTCAGACCCGAGAGGGGGGCCAGGGTCGACACGCTGTGAGAGAAGGCGGACCGAGAAGCTAGTTCGCTGGGGATCAGTGACCTCGGTGCTGTCGGATTGAACCTGGGACGTCTCCGGAATCACCTCTTCAGAGCTATCATGGGGCACGGTCACCGCCTCCTTGCGCCTGGGGGCGGGAGTGGGCGTCATCTCGAGCGCCTCGTCGTCGAAGGGCAAGGTAGGGTCGACGGCAGGCGTAGAGGGCGGAGCGGGCGTCTCGTTTTCACGGCCGTGGAATGTGTCGAGGCCAGGAGTAGAAACCTCGTTCTCACGGTCATGAAGAGGCGGATCGTCGACTGGGCGGTCGACTACGAGATCCTGTTTGCGAGTCTGGTAGGACGGAATGTCGTTGAAGTGGTCATCGAAATCGTTATCGATAGACGGATCGACCTTGATCATGGCGGCACTTTGGCGAGACTCGAACTTCTTCTCCCACTTGGCCTTGAGCTTCTTCGCCTTGGCCGTGGGATTACCGTCGTCGTCCTCCTCCATCTGCTGAGACTTGGCCAGGATGGCCTTGACCTCGGCCCTGGCTTGCTTCGCAAGGTCCGTACCGTCCATCTGCTCGAACGTGACGGGTTCGTCGTCGCCTCCAGGGCGGTTGAGGAGGAACTTCACGAGCCCGTTGATGACAGGGTCAAGTCCGTACTGGGCGAACCCGAATGTCTTGTTGTAGCGGTCCAAGGTCAGGGACCGGGCCCATACCGCGAGATAGGTGTAGGCATGTCCGCGCTGCACGATTATAGGCGCGTGGTAGCGCCTCAGCTCGTTCGGCTTGAAATGCCCGTCACACCAAGCAAACCGGTTGAACGGTTGTCGAATGTGATTGCGCACCATCTCGAAGACGACCGCGTAGCGGATACTGCCTTGAATGTGACCGGGGATGTTGGCCGCACCGATGAGCTCGTGGGACCACTTGTTGGTCAAGTTCCGCTCCATGTAGTCATAGTAGCTGTTCTTGATCTTGAGCAAGTGCCACGTCACCGGGAACTTTTGACCGAGTCGGATGAGGCGGCCGCCGCCTTGCTCGTGATACGCCCAGCTCCAGTTGATCGAGACGAAGATTCCAGTGTGGCACTGGGCCTGGAGATCCAGTCCAACCAGCGAGATGTTGAAGTTGGCCACGAGCACCTGGCAACTGCTGAAGGGAGAATTGAATCGGTCAATCGCAACGGTTCGCTCGCGGTCGCTGTGGGATGATCGGATCGATTCGACGTTGAAACCTACAACGGCAAGCATGGCGCCCACGATCCTAGGCAGATGTTAGCGAGTTCATACAGACAGCCCAGGTTCACATGGATAGGAGAGCTCTTCTGGCGCCCATCTTCACGGCCGTGGGAAGGCTTCGGCCAGGGGATCGAATCTTCACGGCCATGGAGATGGGGGAAATCCCACGGCCGTGAAGATGGAGGGTCCACGCCAACGCTGTTCTCATGGCCGTGAAGTTGGTAGGGGAGGGGTAGGTGTGAGAGAGGAGGTAGGACAAGAGAGACTTACTGCTGTTGCCAGGGGATATCAGCGAGGATGAAGACACGGCTCTTATCTTCGCGGATCGTCTTGGTGGCGATCTCCAACGTGCGTGCTAAGATGGGAGACTTGGAGCAGACCCATTTGATCAGCTGCACGGGGTCAGACGGCTCAGGAATGTCCTTGTCTTTGTTGACAAGATAGAACAAGTATCGAAGACCGCCGTAGGGGTCGGTGCGGACCAGCTCTTCGACATGTTCGCGTCCTAGAGTAACAATCGTCGCGAGATCGTCGATGTCGTCGCCGGCGGCGGCGCGCTGGGCGACATTATGTCGCACGAAGTTGGCCTTTCCTTTTCCCTTCTTGGACGCGGTGGGGGCGTCGTCGGGCTTGTTGGCGCTGTTCTCGCGGGCCTTGTCGAGATCCTCGAAAGTCTTGTCGAAATCCTTCTGCTGGAGCGAGCCGAGCGTTACATTGCATTCATCCTCGACGTCTTGGAGGACCATGGAGTGCAAGTCGAATGCGACGAGCATGCCCTCGCGGAAGGTGACGTTGTTGCCCGACTCGTCTTCACCTGCAGCGATGGAGGATTGCACATTCGCATTTCGGCTGTTGCCCTGAGCGGGGCCGCCACCACCACCACCTCCTCCTCCATCTCCTCCAATTGGCGTATCGGGCGAACAGGTGAGCTTCCGGAGATTCTGGCGCAACTTCAGTACGGTCTTCTGCTTGGCGGCACCGGTGGCAATGGTGCGGTCGAGCAGGCCGCAGCTGTGATTCAAGACTTCCTCGGCGTCCTCCTCGGGATACGAGAGCTCCTCCATCACGTACTTGTAAGGCTTCATGTTCTTCGCAGGGTAGGTGACCGTTCCATCGGGCAGCGAGAGGGGCGTATGCATGTAGCGCCTCTGGGCGATGAGGGCCATGACGCGAGGGACGACGACTTGAGCAAACTCGTCTTTCCACTGGTGCCGGGCGCCAGTCGCCTTGTAGAGGCCGGGATGCAGGATCCACAAGGGGAATCTAGTCTCCATCCATACCTTTTTGGCGTACTCGATGGCGGGCGGAAGCTCGGTGTAGGGATTGCCTTCGTCATCCACGTAAGTTGCCAGGTGGAAAAGGCCGCGGACTGTGCGGGGGCCGACCGTGAACTGCTCCTGGCAAGGGTCGTAGTTTGGCAAATACAGGAGCAGCGTTTCTCCCAAGTCAGTGCGGTTAGGCATGATCCAGATACGCTCGCCTTCAGGGCGAGCCTTCCAGACGACATGGTGGAAGAGCCTCAAATACGCGGCCAGGTCCCGGATATGGTTGACCATCGGCGTTGCAGTGACCAGAGTCAAGTGAGCGTAACTCTCCTCTGTAAGGAAGGCGAAGAGCGCCGACAGTTCGTTTTTGCAACAGTGGGCCTCGTCGACGATTATCCGATGCCACTTGCGCCTGAATCCAGACATACCGTTGACGGGGACGTAGCTGCCAATGTATGCGTGCGCCTCGTCGGTGTTGCAGGGATAGAACTCGTGCTCCTTGAAGTAGGTCCTCGCCACGACGGGGCGATGGGCATGCGTGATCAGCTCCGTTATATGGCCTTCGGGATGACGACCATGGCCTTTAGCCGCCTTTCTGAAGGTTGCAAGTCGGTCCTTGTCGCGGATTCGAATTGGTTCAAATTCGTAGCTCGTTAGACGATGAACGAGGGTCGTATTCGGGGAGAGCACGACGGTCCGCGCGGTCTATGAAAGGAACAGCGGTTAGTAATTGGCGCAGAGCAGGCGTCGACGGATAGACAGGGGACGATCTTCACGGCCGTGGAGAGCCTCGACGGGGCCCTCGTCTTCACGGCCGTGGAGAGCCTCGACGGGGCCCTCGTCTTCACGGCCGTAGGACTAGAGAATCTCACGGCCATGAAGACGAGGGCCGCAACCGAAAGGGAAACTGGGAAAGGGGGAAGGGACGTTACCTGGGGATCGTTGGCGCCATCGCGGAACAGCTCGAAGATCTTGGGGTCAAGTTCGTCCTTGTTCCAGGTGACATCCGACCGGCCAGAGTCCTTGTTGACATTTTTGGTGTGGGAAAAATAGAGTCGAACCTTCAACCTTTCGTCCCAGACTTTGGCCTTGTCGAACATCTGGGAAAAGTTGGCGTTGTTGCAGATCACAAGGGTGGGCAAGAAAGGCCCCTTGGATTGACCAGCGTTAAACTCCGCCTCGAGCATGGACGCAACAGCCGCGATGAGTCCGAATATGCAGTTCGTCTTTCCGAGGCCGACGGAGCTACACAGCATGCTGCCTCTCATGGGGCTTTTCTCCTTGGAGACCAAGTTGTAAATATCTAGATACGAGAGTCAGCAGATAAGTCGACGACGAGGAATTGGGATGCGGTCTTCACGGCCATGAGAGGAATAAAAGCTCCACGGCCGTGAAGACGAGGGGCCGTCGAGAATCCAAGCAGGGGCGCTCTCTAGCGGTAAAGGATAGAGGACGGAGGGTAGGGTGAAGGGGGACATACCCATGACCTGAGCGGCTGTCAACTGGTAATCGGGGGTCTTGGTGTTCGGACAGAGCTCTCTCCAATTCTCGAACCCGAGGAGCTTTGCGGCGGCCTCGAAGTTAGCACCTTCATCGTTGGGCGCATCGCCGGCCAGGGACTTGTTCATCAGCCAAGTCTTGAACGTGGCCTTGTAGGCCTCGTCGGCAGCTTCCTTGGAGCTCTGTGCATCCTCAGCGAGGTCTTCGCAGCCAATGTTGAAGAAATCCTGGAATTCCTTATCGCGCGCATCGGGGTTAATACGCTCGGCAGTTGTCGGCTCGATGGAGGGGTCGTCGTCGTCTTGTCGACGACCGTGGCGTGTGCGGAGATGGTTGATGAGGATGCGCATTGTAGCGTCGTCGAGCTTGGGCATCGGCGGAAGCTGCAATGAATGACACTGGCGGGCAATGCACTCGGAGATATTCGTGCCTCCCTGCATGGAAGCGAGGAGACGCTCCGTTCTCAGAGAGAGCTCTTCACCCGAGGCGGTCACGGAATAGACCTTCGAAAGGTTGAGGAGGGTCCTGGTGCGCTTGTGCGACATGACGGACGAGGCGAGCATGGCGCGGTTGAGAGCAGTGGCCCTTTCCTTGCCGGCGTCCTCCTCATCTAGCCACTCGCTGTTATCCACGAGCGCGGGATATATCATGGGAGGAGGGAGGGGGCTTTCGGAGGGATCGGTCGCAGTCATGATCTGGAATTTACCCGACCGCCGGTTGCAGAAGACCATGCACAGGACGATGGCACGCGCCCAGTCCTCGAGGACGTAGCCGAGGATCGCCTTGTTGTCGCCGGGCTCGGCACGCGGGTATCGGTGAGGGTATGCGCTGCGATCGGAGGAGAGCTCGACATCGTATGACAGGTTGTGGGTGGGCGCATACTCGAGAAGGCGGAACGCGCTCAAGATGAAGGTCGCGATCGGGTGGGTATCATCCTTGTCATCGCCTTCATACTTGGAGGCACCGTTGATGGCGCCTTGAGAGACTAACGTCATCTCGGAAGGGTTCGAGCTGAGGATCTCATATAGATACGTTCCCGGAGTCGACTCCCTCTGGAGGAAATGACAGACCACGGGGAACTGGGGGGTATGGATATGGGGATTGTTCCAGCCATTGAAGAACGCGTTGCCGACGTCCTTCCAGATGCGACCACCTGATATGGTCAGTAGCCGTGTCTCAAAGGGGGTTGTTCTTCACGGTCGTGGGGGACCCAGGCTTTCCCCCCCCTTGTCTTCACGGCCGTGGAGAAAATGAAATCTCCACGGCCGTGAAGACGAGGGGAGGAGGGGGGGGCAGAGGTCTGGATAGGAAACCTCTCATAGCCGTGAAGATCAGGGGCGACAATGTGTGTATGTAAGTGAGAGGGAGAGAGGAGATACGTACAAAAAGTGTCGAGAAAGGTGACGAGCTTGAAAACGTGCTCGAAATGGTGATAGACCGCGAGCTGGGGATAAGTGGATTTGTTGGTCAAGTTCTAGTTAACCTCACATCTAATTTCCTCTGGCAGGCCTTTGATCTTGCGACGGGAAGCAACAGCCTGGCGGCGAATAACCTCCAACTCTTCCTGGTCCATCGACTCGGAAGGCGACGGATAGTCGAAGTGGGCCCAGTCGTCATTGTGCCAACGGGGACGGTTATGGCTTCCCTCAGGCCATTGGAGAATTTGTGTAACGTCGTCGCAGAAGAAATTGAAATTGGCGCCCTTGGTCGCGGCGTTGCCACTGGTGACCGTCCAAGAAGGGTGTGATGCGAAGTCGGACTCCGGGAAGCCATAGTGCTTGTGGGACTTGGCCTTGGCGCTTCTAGCTTTGCCGTTTTTGTTTTTGGACAAGCGCGCGAGCTGCGGTGTGGGCTTCTCGTCGAGGACGACCTCGTCGAGATTGAGGGCGCCGCTACTGACACCAGCGGAGCGATTGGTGGCCGTTCTGGGCGGCATGTTGGAGGTCGGTGGAGGGCTCGAGGAGCCAAGGCGATCAATCGCGCAGGGCGCGGAGGGATGGTTGGGCAGCGGGTGTCACGGCCGTGAGAGTGAAGGTGCAGGAAAAAGAGTCTGCGGAGTGGAGGAGAGAAAGAGAAAATCGAGGATGAAAGAGAGAAGAAGTTGGGTTGTGGCAGAAGAAGTGGCCGAGGGGCCTGTACATATATGGCAGCCCTAACGCACGGACCAAGGGCGGGTGGGCGCTCGGACCAAGGGCGGTTGGGCGCTTGGACCAGGGCTGAGTGGGTCCATCGACCCACTCAAGTGGGTGGGTCGGGCAGGCGCGCAAAAAAATCCGACAAGAGCGGAAGCGGTAGATGTGAATTAATCATGTGATCGGTGAGGCTACGGGAAGGCGCCGCGGCATCCTGGCGTCGGCCAGCTCGTTCCTTCCCAGTCTCCGTGGATCAGGGGCCACGGCCGTGAAGGGCGGCCCTGGTAGGCCTTTGCGGCCGCCTGCCTTTGTGGTGGTCGGGTCGAGATTGCCGCCGCAGCTAACGCGCGGCCGGGAAGGGTGGGACGTAGTAGTGCGCAGTAGGCTATTCTGCGGGTCGCTGCAGCAGTGGCAGCGGTAGTGGCGAGCTATCGCCAAGCAGGTGGGGGGACCCTGCTTGCGTATGGGTCCGGCATATGGGGCGGGGTCTCACGTCAACGGCAAAACAGTCACTTGATGAGATCACATGAGCACGAGCTTGATAATGAGGTGATGTATTGAGCCATAGGAGCAAGATTTTAGTTTACATGATGCTGAGCCCACAAAGGCGTCCTTCCCGTAAAGTAGCGAGATGCGGTACATTTATAATGATAGTGTAGAAAGGTGACGTGATGGATGGCCTTCTCGATCGGAAGGTATGTGATATATAATCGGTCAGTCCCTGAGTGACTTGATGCGGTCGTACAGGTGAGAGGAGAGCTGCCAAAAACGCGAGACTTCGAATTGTGAGTTGTATTTCACCTTGACGGTCAACTATCCCGCCAGCGCCGACTGTGGTTCGATTCGAGTCTTGCGAGGCCAGGCCGACTCCGCGGGAGTCGTGAGAGATGTATCGATACAACCCAGAGCTTTTGGGGGAGCGCCCAGTTTCTCGAGGATCTGGTCGACGTGCGCCGGGTAGAAGGCGAGTATGACGCCGGCCAGGTCTTTGAAGGTCTGGCCGTAGAGGCACTGTGATAGGAACGGCCTCGAAACGAATTTCTGACAGTACGGCCGCTGAGGCATTAGGCACGTGCCGCATGAGGAGTACTTCTCGAAGGTCAGGCTCGTGAGGTTGTTGGTTATGTCTCGTGCGACCTCGGCCATGGGGTGAGGACACGTCTTCAAGTAGTGCTTAGCAGCGACATTACCGCTGATAAGAAAACACAGAGCGCAGGTACGGTGGGAGTATATGCTGCCGATTATATCTGCTAGCTGGTTGGCCATGCGGACGTTTTCGGCCGTGAGCTCCTCGGACGATCTCTGGCCATGTGTGCGCTCGATCTGTTGGGCGGCCAACGCCTGCGAGAGCTGGGTCTGCACTTGTTCGGATATGGCGGGACTCCGCTGTGTCGGCGTGGCCTGCGGTCGCGCAATTCCGCTGGGCAGGGGGCCCGAGGCAGATCTTGGGAGATGCTGGGCACGCCTCTGCTGGACGGGCGAGCGCAGGGCACCGGAACCCGAGAGCGAGCCGGACTGCGGCAGAAGTCGAGAGCCCGTCTGGGGTGTACGGGGTAGTGCCGGGGCCGGGGGGGCATCCATGTTACTGGCCCAGGCCCGGGGTGATGGTTGATCAGGGGCGTGGTGGTACAGAGGAGACTGCGGGAGGTTGAACTGCGATGGGAGCGGACGCTCGGGTGGCGGCGCGATTAAAACTGCACCAGAATCGTCATACCCGTCAAATGACGGCTGCTGAGGGAGCGAGTCTTCATGGCCGTGGGGATTCTCGTAGCGCGAGGCCGTCGTGGCGCCACGGCCGTGAAGGACCGAGGTCTGGGACGGTAGAGCAGCGCGGTGTCGAGGGAGGCTGGACGGAGAATGAAATGGGCCAGGCGCCGGCATAGGCCTGGGCACGGTGGACAGATAGGCCGTCGACGCGCAGCCGTCGCACAAGATTTGATCGAAGGTGTCGAGGCATCTGGGACCGCCCGTGTCGCCGTCGAAGAATTCGGAGAGAAAGCAGCGCCGGCATGGGGCGGCGAGGAAAGCGTTGACATTGGGATCGGGAGATTTCGAGCTGGTGCACGACAGCACGACGGCCTGAGAGGGCGACCCATCACGGCCGCCACGTCCGCCCATCTGCATGACGTCCAGGAGAGACTTGGGCGTATTGTACATGACGACGAGGGCGACGCGGGCGTAGTCGACGCCGAGGCCAAACGCCGAGGTGGCGATGAGGACATGAGTATCGTTGAGCCAGCTGATGATGGCCTTGTCCTTGTCCTCCTGCGACAAGGAAGAGTAGTAGGTAGGTAGCCCGAACGTGCCGGCAAGCTTGTCGAGGTGTTCTAGCGATGTGCAGTAGATGATGGCCAGGCGAGGTGGCTGGCGCGGGCTCCCACCCTGGTTGAGGTTGTGGAGGTTGGAGCGGTGGAAGCGGTCGAGCAGCTCGCGGAGGCTGAGATCGACGGCATCGATCGACGGGTGGCTGAGGCATCGAAAGGAGACGTTGGGTCTGCCGGTCGGACTGCGGACAACGGTGGCGTCTGGCGAGATGTTGTATGACTTGCGGAATTCTCCCTCGAGACTCGGCGGCAGCGTGGCGGTGACAAACAAGCGGCGTGGGCAGATAGAGGCGGTCCGCTCACCCAGCTTGGAGAGCAGCGGCCGGAACTCGTGGGTGGAGTCGAAAATGACGTGCGCTTCGTCGACGGCGACCAGGTCGATCTGAGAGGTGTCGTTGAGGCTCTGGACGAGGGACACCTAGGCCCTTGAACCCAAGCGCTCGGGGCTCACGATGATGACGGACGTGGTGTTCAGGGAGGCGTCGGCCGAAGCCGGGTGCCAAATGCGGGCAGAGACGCCGGCCTTCCGATAGCGCTGGAGCACCTCCATCTGCAGCGCCTTGAGGGGGATCACGACGACGGTGACGCCGGTGGGTCGCACCATGCTGGGCGCGAGGAATGCGAGGCTCTTGCCAGAACCGGTGCCGGCCACGTAGATGATGTCGCCCTGGGAGTTGGCCAAGGCGGCGAGGACCTCTCTCTGGTGATCTCGGAGCCTGGCGTCGGGGTCGCCCGTGAGTGCGCGCGCGAGATCGTCGCTGATGTCGGCCTGGAAGGTGCTGAGACGCAGGGCCTGGTTATGACGAGCGGCGCGCGACTGCGCCTGCAGCTCGGTATCGGGTACGCCCGCTGCCATAAAGGCGTCACCATCAGCGTCGACCGACCCGTCGGCGTCGACGGATCCTTGGTCTTCGTGGACCTTCAAGAGGCGATGCCACATCATGCTGGTCTGTCGATATTGATAGTAAACATGGGTGATGTGCGCTCCGAACATGAACTCTATGGCGTAATGGTGCAGGGCCACTGCCGAGGTGTGCGTGGCTTGAAGATCAAGGGGGTCGTCTTCTCCCTTTTCGTACCCGGGGAACAGTTCATTCTCGCGACCGGAAAAGTTGCTGCCGGCCAGCAGTCGTCGTCCCCACCCGATGGCGATGTGACGCCAGTTCGCGATATTGATGTCGTAGCCCAAGGAAGAGCTTGCCGACTCCTTGAGGAGGAGCGAGAGACGGTCACCACTCCAGTGAAGAGGTGCCGGTGTAGTCGTCGCATCGGGGACGGCCCAGAAGCCTGGCGCTTCATTGCCGTCGACAGTATCGGGGCCGGCTATGCGAGAGGGAGAAGGTTAGCGGACGAGGACTCGGTGTTCGGAGCGGCAGACGGGGCAATCTTCACGGCCATGAGGTGAAGGGGACGAGAGCGCGAAGAACCCTGCCCTTCACGGCCGTGGACGAGGGCCACGGGTCTCACGGCCGTGAAGGGCAGGGGTGGTCTGGGCCGCGTAGCCCAAGGCCACACGGCCGTGAAAACCCGGGGCGCTGCGGCGCGGGGCTGGCATCGTGAGGAGCATGGGGGGACGGGGTGGAAGGGCCGTGGACTTACGCGACGAGGGGACGGGTGCCTGGGTAATGACGAACGTGGTCGGCCACAGGTAGGCGGAGATGTCGATGGGGATGGCGCCCTCGTTAACGAGTCGCGCTGTCATCAAGTCGTTGATGAACGGTCGCACGAGCCAGAGGTACCAAACGACAAGACGAGACAGGCGAGCTGGGAGGAAGCGGTGGATCGGCTTATACTCTTTCGAGATGCGGTAGCCTTTGTGGTACGTGGTATAGATGTTGATGGTGCCATTGCGGAAGAACAGGTTTCGACAGCCGCCGTATGGGGTGTTGTCGATGCGCAGCGACATGATCTCGGGAGCGCGGGCTGGCTGTCCGTAGGTGACGTGGATTGCCGGGGCCAGGGCGCGCAGGAAGACGACGACGGCCTTGTGGTATCGGTTGATGGCGGCGGCGTTGGGTTTGTTATCCACGACGAATGCGCCAAACGTGGACTCGTGAACCGATGGGACGGATTCGAGGAACTGTCTGCCCTCGTCGACCCAGGCCCGGTTCCCTTCGTGTTGCAGAAAGTTGTAGCCGGCCTTGAGGGATGAGACGTCGTCGCCGATATGTGCCAGGTCGGGCATCGTTGGGAGGAAGTCGACGGCGGCAGGGTCGTCAATGCTGTCGATCGCGTCGAGCATGAGCAGCGGGAGGAGGGCCTGTTCAACCGCATCGATGAGACATGTCGCGAATTTGGCGAGGTCGGTCTGGGGCATCCTGATGCCCCTGAAGTTCATGATGACGCACTGGTCGTCATCACTGCGCGTGAACTCGATCAGGTCGGAGCCGGCCCCGTCGACCGCTCCCTTGAGACGGAGCTTGCTGGCTGCCTTCTGGCGCGCGAACAGCCACTGAAGCGGGGTGGTCCAGGGGGTTATCTCGGTGGCATAGACGGTCTTCGGCATCAGGGCGACGAGCGTCGTGCTGAGAGCGGGTTCCGGCTGGTTTGGGTGTTCCCTGCGGTGTTGCTCTACGCGGGCGAGATGGGAGCGCGAGGCGACGTCGAAGGTAGCCACCAAGGAGACTTTGACGACGGCGGCAATGTGCTTGCTGTATTCGCTCTGGTTGTGGTAGGCGTCCGCGCTTTTCACGGCCATGAAGGCCATCGCCGCCAGCAGAGGGGACTCGAAGGCCGTGTGGGGGAGCTGTTGGTCGGTCAGGGAGTATATCGCGTCGTACATGGCGGCGGCGAGGTGCTCGGGGTCGCGCTCGATGGCCTCGTCCGGGTTGAGGTCGAAGAGCGTCGTGAAGGCCTTGGCTACGTTCTCCGGCATGACGATGCTGGGCGATACCAGGCCGGCGGGCCGCGGGAAGCAGATATGCGGCTCGGGGAGGGTGTAGGCGACGAAGAGGAAGATCCTCTTGAAAGTGTAGGAATAGTCGCTGACCGTGCTGCTCAAAAGCTCAGTGTTGAAAGGATCGGATGACTCTTCGCTGGCCTTTCGACGATTCAGGTGCAACAGGATCGTGTGGCCGTGATACGAGCGCATATGGGCGAGGGAGTTTTTCAGGAACCGAGCGAGGGCCTTGGCATACCGGCCGACCGTGACGAGACCGGGTCCGTCGAAGTAGGCTAGTACTTGGGGGCGCGAGAACCTGCCTTCGAGATAGTCGAGGAAGCCCATGGTCTCCAAGAACACGTTGGGCTCGGTGAGCGTGCCGGCACGGATGCCCTGGTTGGCCAGGTTGTGGTTGACGTGCCGCCGAGCTGCGCTCATGAGGTCCGCGAGGGAGGAGTGCTGGCCGTTCGTCGCAGCTTGCGAAAGCTGGCTCGCGCGCTCGAGGGCCTCCGGTTGGGGGGGCTGTGCGACGACTCGGAAGTAACGGGACGCGGCGCCGAAGCTGTGGCCTTGGACAGCCAGGTTGGGTACGGGCCTGGCTCGCGACTCGACATGTCGAGTGCTGCGGTGCCTGTTTGCGTTGCGCTCGCCTCGTGTGACCCAGGGGCAATGTGGACAGCCCAGGCCGTCATGGTGGATGGGTAAGAAAGGGAGGGGCTGAAAGTCGTCCGGCGGGAGGGGGCGGCTGTTTATCCAGTCGAGGGAGGAGAGCTTGAGGTCCTCTGCGTATGTCGAGATGAGGGAGAAGGCGCGGTCGATGATGGACAGATAATCGCCGGCTGCGACGTCCGGGAAGCAGGCGTTGATGTGAGTGGGGACCAAGTGCTCCGAGGGCCGGACGGGGGCCGAGCAGGCAACGCAGAATACCAGGCCAAGTTGAGGGACAACGTAGAAGACGTCCTCGATGTTGACATAGTTGCAGTGCTCTGGCGGAGGGGACGAGGGAATGGTCTCGATGTAACTCGCCTGATGGGAAAGAGTATGTGTCAGTAGATGAGTGTACAGTCGTCGCGTAGCGAGGCAGAAATCGTCCAAGTCGCGTGGGTGTACGTACCACTTTTGACGCGTTGCGCTGGCGCGCCGAGGGGGGTGTGTCTACCATGGCGGATTTCACGGTCGTGAGCGTGGGGCGCAGGCCACGGTCGTGAAGGGCAGGGCAAGAGCCCCACTTGGTTGACCGAATGCGGCTAGACAAGCGCAGGGTACAGGCGTGGGTGGGGGTGTGAGCTCTGGGGGGGGACCGATCTTCACGGGCGTGAGAGTTTGATGTTGGCTGAGAGGTGGATTTCGTACGTGTGGAGATTGGCTGGGTCGGTGGAGTGTGTGTAGGAAGAAGAAAAAGGTGGAGAGGTTAGAGGGGGAAGGTTTAAATAGGGTGTTGGATCGGCGGCTGATCTGTGCAAGCGTTGTGGGTCTTTAGCCCGTGCGTCGGCGGAACTTCATCCGATCTCGACGGCCCTGTGCCTTCCCACCCAAGGTAGGCGGTGGCACACGTCTGCCTGGCCTGGGTCACGTGTCGCGGCCCTGGCGGCATCACGGCCGTGAAGGGCACAGGGCCGCGGGAGGCCATGGCGACGTGACGGCCGCCAGCGACGCCAAGGCGTCTGTTGCTCATCTCGCTTTGAACTGTTGTGTTCGCGATGGCGGCACCCGGGCCCAGGGAAGCAATGATTAGGAGCAAGGAAAGTTTGGTAGCTCTTGTTCGTTTGTTCCTCAAGTTGATTGTTCTACAAGAATAGCATGTGGTCGTAAGATCGTGATGGATGTTGGCCTTTGTAGTGCCGAATTGAAGGAGGCGTGGCTGTTGTTTGTTCGCTCGACTGCTTGTTTGTACATCGTCTCAGTTGATTGTTACTCTGTAGCGGTTTGTGCTCTAAATGAGGTATGGGTAGGGATGATGGTCATTGTCTTTTTGATTCATGTAAAACAGAAGCGACGGACTGTCTTTGGGAAATTAAAAGGGGTGGTCAAGGGTACGGTCATTGTGCCGCCATGAAAGGGGTCATCTTTGTCCGTATCTAATGCTGAATCAGAACACAATGCCATTAAGACGGAGGAACGGGAGGGCGATTGCTCGATAAATGGGCCAACAGCCGCCCGGTCCCTGGGCAACCTCTTTCCGAATGCAGAACACATCAAAGATCAGACACCATCACTCGATTGCATCACTACACATATTGTCTCATTGGCGCATCGACTGTACCACCGGCATCGCTCACTTCCTATCCTGACTCGGCAAGCATCTTCTTTGGTCGAGCATAGCACACATTCATATCCACTCTCCCTTCAGTAGAAGAGCACACAGAACACGGGATCCTAGCTATCGGCCCTCACACTACTACCTTATCACTCAAGCACCCAAAGAGTCAAAGATGGTAAACCATTGGCGTGGTGACTCGTCCGGGTTCGCGACCAAGTCAAATAGCACGCACGCCCTCTTTGACGGGGTACGGTACATGCGCCAAGGTTATCATCTCAAGCCAGGTTACAAGGGCCTGGTATTCTACATCACGGACGAGGAAGTATTCGAAGAGGCGCTCAACAAGGCATCGCAGCTGTTCGGGGCAAGGCTTAACATATCAGAGACGCCGTTTCTCCTCCGTGAGGGGACCACAGTGAACAGAGACTGGAACACACCAGGTATGTCCTCGGACTACAGCGACATCGTGTTCGGCACCAACGAGAGGTCGCAGGCTACGACGCGCGCTGCGGTACAAGAATGGCGGGAAAGCCGGATGGAGCTGACAGGTTCACACCAGGTTAACCAGGGCAATAGCCGTCGACCGCGCCCAGGGAGATCCATTGCCGAGTCCGAGGACGACATCATCAACCTCGTGAGTGAAGGGGACGGCGACAGCGACAACGAAAGCGGCGACAGGAGCTATAACGGAGATAACGGGACGAGGTCTCAACTGGGTATCGAGCAAGGGCGTCATATACGACGGGACAGAGATAATATGGGCGGCGCTAGCCAGACGCCGGGTCGTCGTACGGGAGGGATTCGACCTGCCGTTCCAGGCAAGGCCGGGAGAGCCGATGGAGGGGCGGCCACCAAGGAGGCAACGCAGCCGGGTGAGAGGATCGTCGACTTCAAGAAGGACATCGAAATCTTGCAGAGGGCGCACGAAGGGCTGGGCAAGACAGTCACACAACTAGAAGAGGGTCGGCTATCTGGTGGCTTAGTAGGGAAGGCCTGGGAGGCTATAAGGACGTACCTAGCCAGAGTGGAAGATGTCAGTAACCGGATGGCGGAAGCGGTAGAGAAGCAAGCGGGCCCGGTAGCGGACCTCGACTTCCTCGAGCCCGATAACTTCCTGACCACGGTGCGCGAGGCCGACGAGGTAGGCAGCAACCAGGGCGACGACCACGACAGCCCGGCGCCATGGAGTCAGTCGCGGACCCCAGGGCATAAGCGCCGGCGAGAAGGAGGGGACCGGGACGAGCCGGACGAGCTACGGGACGATCGTGCTGCCAAGAGGCCGAGGCCGTTGGGCGTAGGCCCGGAGGATGACGAGGCAATTCGTGCCATGGAGAACAAGACAGCGCAGGCGAAGGGCTGGGAGATGTGCGCCTCAAACCTTGGGTCCCGTCTAGAGGGGGAGTCGGCGGATCGGGCCAGCGTCAGTCGGCCAAGCCTACTACCGCTACATGGAGCAGGTGAGGCCAAGCTAGGCCCGCTCTGGGCCGTCTCTTGGAACGGGAAACTGTTGATCGGGCCCAAAGTCTTCGCTCAGGCACTGAGGTTCTACATCGAGAACACCCTCCTCAACCAGGACGGCTACCGGGCTATCGGGCCACTTTTCATCAAGAAGCTGCTCCAGGGCGAGCGCTTTCCGATCTGTGTAGGCACCATCTCAGCCAAGTCTATTGTGGGCGGGCCTGGGAGGGGGGACGGCGATGGAGGCGACACGCCGTCATCTGTACGATCAACCACTACAGAGGGCGGCTCGAGCGGCGTTTCCATGACTGTTGCGAACCTACCAGAGAACGTTCTCAAGAGGGCCATCGGGTTCTGGGAAGGGGTAGCGGAGGAAGGAGAGCTTCGGCAAATGACGGTGCGTGTTCTGGCTACTACTAAGGAGACGGCCTCGGTTGGCGGAGTCGCCAACTGGTATCGGTTGACGTCGGACGTAGTGAAGAATCGGGCAGCGCGCATAAGCGACGACGAGATTAGGGAGTGGTTGGGAATCAAAGCGAGCGAGGTTCCGCAGGAGAGAGGGAAGTGTGACGATCTTGACGAAGAGGAAGACTGGGACGCGAGCGGGAGCATTGACGACAGCGGCGCGTGAAGTCGGAGAGGATATTCTAGATTGAAGAAACGGGGTACGATGGAGTCACGGTCAGGTTAATAATAGATTTGTCTTGAGGTCCAACTCTGAGTAGTAGTACACGGTAGTCATGATAGAGCCAGGCATTTGCCCAGTTACAATGATGAGTTATGTGAATGTTGAAGCTATGAGTATGAACGAAATAGCAAAGAAATCGACCGTGCTACATTGGATAATGGTTACCGAGAGAACGACGAGGTCGGGACAGCAACGACCATGTTACGAATCATATCGGGTCGTTCAAGCCATTCTCAAAACGCCTTCATCGCCTACTGTATTGTGCCTTACCGTGACGCATGGAAGAGCAGGGGCCTCAAGACAAGACTGTTATCGCGTCTGCCCTTCCCTTCACGACCGTGACGATAGGACGTCGTGGCGATAGAAGGCCTCGGCTCGGCCCCTGGTTTTCACGGCCGTGGGGCCGAGGATAGTTCCCACGGCCGTGAAGGGTAGGGTGGCCATGAGGGGCTCAAGGTGGACGTGAGACCGTCCCACAGTCACGGCCGTGGGGATCAGCTTGCCGCCCTGCAGCAAGTGGGCGTAGTATTCTCTAAAGACAAGCGGTAGGTTCAATATCAGTACAAGGTTAGGTCCACGGTTACCAAAGGTAGTAGTAATAGTTAATTAATAGACCGTGCTTATTTACATAATACCAATTCTTCAAAAGAGATGGGATGATATTGAGCTCAAGTCGAGGTTGGGATGAACAGTGACGGATGAAAAGATAAATAAAGATGATTATAAGCTGTGATGGGAACTGAATAGAGAGCTAATATACTGAAAAGCTAGGTCTTATCACCACGTTATTTTTAACTAAGAAAGATGATAAAAGACGACTTAACAGAGTAAAGGTAAGCTCTGGTTACCTAAGAAACTAGTGTTGTTCACGCAGTTCAGGTGGTAGCAGAGCCTCTCCTTGTAAACTTATGAAGCTCACAAGGCGAAGATGAACAAGATTCATGAGGAAATTTGAGATAATGCTCTTAAGAAGAAAAGTAGTCATCTTCTATAAGCCCCCATGAGATTAAGAGGTATATTCTTAATAGAATAAATATAGAATAATACCGGGCCTGGGTAAGGGCCGTTCTGGTTTAGAGAAACGATATGAAGAGAGTGGATATGTAGTAAGTGCCATCTTGCTCGTCTTTTCCGAGCAGAGGCCTTGTCGGGCGGGTAGGGACGGGCCCAGCTTTCTAACAAAAGGCGTTAACTAGAATAGCGTTGTTAAAGGGAGGAGGTGCGATCCCGACCAGGGTTCAGGTCTTGGTTTAGTGGAGTGGGGCCATGGGCCGGGGCAAGAAGTGGGGGGTACCGCCCTTCCAGGGAAGGCGGGGCGCCGCACGGGCCAAGGGGGAAAGGGGTATTTAAATCCTTCTACCGCACGGCCAGCTCCGAATCAATCCCTCCTCCAACACGTCACCAACCTCGACAGCCTTTTACGACCTACCGCCGCCAGAGCCCCTCGGACCGTACCTACCTCCTGACGACACTACGCTACACCACGGCCGTGAAGACCCGCCTCGACATGGCAACCGAGACGCCACCCGCCACGCCCGCCACGGCCGCCACGGCCGCCACGGCCATTGCCCCCCAGGTGTTCCACTGGGACACGGCGCGCCAGTACGTCGGGTTTGAGTAGGCATCGAACCCGGCCGAATGGCGCCCCAAAGAGTACTACCAGGGCAAGCTACAGCCCTTGATCAATGCCATGGTCGACCTCGAGCGCGACGTGGCCTCGTGGAAGCGCCGCTTCCCTGACCAGCCGCTGCCTACTCGACTGGCCCCGCCCTACATGCGCCGCGCCCTCGCCCTTGACGCCGGCGCCCTGGGCCAGCTCTACTCGCGTACTTGGTCCTTTATGCGATTCAACGATTACTATCCCGTCATGCGTCCAACGGCTCGGCCCCCGCCCGGCAAAGTTGGTGACGACATGATCCGCGCGCAGAATTTCTGGGGCTCGGGCTTAGCCCGCCGCGACATGTCACCCGGAGAGTGGGCTGGCACCGGCAATCTAGATGACATCATGGTGAGTAGCTTGGTCCTGCGGCTCAAGGCCTTGGTTGCCCTACCTTTGTCGCGCGGAGAGACGCGTGGTGCAAGAGGATTAACGATTGCTAACTCGTGCCGGCGGTTACCTGCGTACCAGAACCAGCGACAGGTGCTCGTGTACGAGCTGCCGCCTACCCCCGCCGAGATGGCCGCCTGGCGGTCCTGGAACGAGAATCTGCCTGCTATGGTAGAGGAGGATCGCAAGGAGTTCGAGGCGCAGTATGACGATTCGGACGACGCGAGCGAGGCCGGCGATTCGGACGACGTGGATAACTGAGCGGAGGAAATGCGATGGGCGTATTTTACCAGCGGATACGGTGCGGCTTAGAGATACAGAGGGGGATATAGCGAGGATGAGTGTGGTCCTAGATGGTCTCTGTGGTCCAGGGGACTGGGGATATGACTTAGGAGTTTGCTTTTTTATCCAGGGGGTTCTCTTGATCTCCGGGAGCGTAAACGCGGTTCGCACCACGCCCGCTGACCGGTATGCCGGGCGGTAGTTATCATGACTCAGGATGAGGAAGAGACTCGGCTTGATTAGCTACAGCGGTGGATGCGAGGACATGGGCTGAGGAGGACCACTTCATCGTTAGCTACCTGAAACCGCGACTAGCGCAGAGACCTAGACTAACTCGTCCGCGCGAGTTCAAATTCACTACATGGGACTACGTGGCCTGGACAACCGTAGCGTCGTGATATGCGGATCGTGGGAACAGTGAACACGATGAACAGGGACGTCGAGGGTGACGGATGCTGGCCTTCATGGCCGTGACCATTTCTCGCTATTATGGCTGTGAAAGGCCGTGCGGGCTGGCCGGAGAGAGGCCTAGCTGGCTGACGTCAAGAGTCCGAGGTAGAGGGATCTATCTCACAAACCTAACGACGGACAAAGTCGTCCTCGACTTCCGGACCAATGCAGAGGACGACAGATGTAGGACAGACGGCCTCTTCGACTGGCTTATAGAGATTCCGGCAGACGGACGAACTTCGAGCCAGTGGACGTGGAGAGGAGAGGTCCCACTCATTCGAGCAAGTAGACGATAAGCAGACGGGCAAGTAAGGCCCGGCTTCCGACCTTACCGCCGTCAAGAAAGCGCCAGACGACGAGCTGACGGAGAATCAGGAGGGTGGCTATCTTCACGGCCGTGGGCCGTTCGCGCTTCGAGCCTCAGGCAGCAAGCCGCTGGGCGCTAGGCAGCAGGGGCGGTAAAAAGTGGGCCGGGGCGGTTGTGGCGGCGCTATAAATATCGCCTCGGCCACCTCGCCCTCCCACAAACTTCCCCTTCTACTCACCCACCAACTAGCTAACAGACCTACCCGACGCGATTTTTGGGCAAAGCGCCCAACCGACCGACTGACACCCCCAAGCACCACGGCCGTGAAGACTCGCCTCGACATGGCAACCGAGACGCCACCCGCCACGGCCGCCACGGCCGCCACGGCCATCGCTCCCCAGGTGTTCCACTGGGACGAGGAGCGCCAGTACGTCGGGTACCAGTAGGCCTGGCGCCCGGCCGGCTGGCGCCCCGATAAATACTGGGACAATACCTTCAACATCCTCTTCAGCGACATAGTTAGGTTCGAGCACCGGAAGTTGATCTATGAAGAGATAGAGCCTGACGCTACCTTGGCATCCCGTTATGCGCCTCCGTACAAGCGCCGTACCGTCGCCGTCGCCGCCGGCTCCCTGAGCCACTTCTTCGATGACACCTACGGATTCAGTCGCGCCCGCGCGCTCATGGACTCCGGCCGCTACGGGCCTGAGCGGTTCGAGACTCGATTTCAAATGGTGTTGCCGACGGCCTTGCCCCCCCCCGGTCCAGGCGGCCGCGCCATCGTCGACTTCGCCAACCGTCGCACCGCCATCATCCAGTCGAGAGTTGCGAAGCCGGGCTCGAGTATCCAGGACTTCGTTGAGAGCGGTGACCAGCAGGATATTAAGGTACGTTTAGCTACACTTAGGAGATTGCGCACCTACTCGCGCATCAACGGCCTACTAACTCATACGAACTGCAGAACCAGAGACATGTCCTGTTATACGAGCTGCCCCCAACCGCCGCTGAGCTCAGAGCTTGGGCTGAGTGGGATAAGAACCTCCCTATTATGCAGGCGAAGTACGAGGAGTGGCAAGAGGCGCGCACGGTGCGCATCAACTCGTGGCAACTTATGGAGATATGTGACAATTGGAGTGGGTCAGAGAGCGACAGCGATGCCGATACCAAGAGCGATGCGGAGCCAAAGGGCGACACTGAAATGGAAGACGTGATCAAGGGGGAGGGCGATACTGAGATGGAAGACGAGACCGAGGAGGATAGCAAGGCCGCGTCCGAGGACGAAGACTAGGGAGTGCAGGCCTTAATTCAGAGTGGCCAGGGTAATGATGGTTGGAGGGTGGAATCACTCATCGCCGCAGTAGACCGGGTAAAGCCCAAGGTCAGGCAGATGGACACCGTTAAACGGACGACGGATATAGATGGCGGCCCAGCATCGATAGACAGAGACAGACAGACTTTCTTTAAGTGCCCAAGAGCAGAGGAACGAATAGGAACGCATACCTTGCTCTCCACATGGTATCATCGATAAGAGAATATAGAGTGCGATACCTCCAGATCTACGTCATTATCGCCACTGACTTGCTCACCCCGTCGCGTGGCCCCGGCCTTCACGGCCGTGGTGGGAGTGACAGTCGCGACTCAGCTAACTTGGACCGTGATGGTGGTGGTGGGCCCCGACAGTCCTGATGGCCCAGGTCTTCACGGCTGTGATGAGAGGAGTGGTGGCCATGGCTCAGCTTGCTTGGGTCGTGATGGTGGTGATGGGCCCGACAGTCTCCAGGGCCCAGGTCTTCACGGGCATGAGCCGTTGGTGCTTCGAGCCGCAGGGCGCGAGGCAGGGGCGGTAAAAAGTGGGTCGGGGCGGTTGTGGCGGCGCTATAAATATCGCCTCGGCCACCTCGCCCTCCCACAAACTTCCCCTTCTACTCACCCACCGAACTAGTTAACCGACGCGATTTTTGGGCAAGGCGCCCGACCGACCGACCGACCTCCCCCCCCCAGCACCACGGCCGTGAAGACCTCCCCCCCCCCCAAGCACCACAGCCGTGAAGACCGAGGCCACCCAGCGCCACGGCCGTGAAGACCAAGGTCACATAAGCCGTCGAGATGGCGCCCGCAACGACCATCAGGGCAACCGGACCTACTGCCATCTACTCTCCCCAGGTGTTCCACTGGGACGTGAGGCGCCAGTACGTCGGGTACCAGTAGGCCCGGCGCCCGGCCGGCTGGCGCCCGCACACTTACTGGCACAGTGTCTTCAATGACGAAGAAACAAAGATAGGCTTGTTCCAGGCCGAAAAGTCATGTGACGAGGACGAGAACAACGGTATTACGTCAGCCGAATATGCGCCCCCGTATAAGCGCCGTGCCGTCGCTGTCGCTGCCGGTTCCCTGAGCCACTTCTTTATCGAAACTGAAGGACTTAGCCGCGTCCAGGGGCTCTACAATAGCAACCCTACGAGATTACACCGGCTTAGAACTCGTTACCCCTTAGTACAGCCAACGGTCTTACCGCCTCCCGGCCCAGGCGGCCGCGCTATTGCCGAATTTCTCAGCAAGCACGGCACCCCCACCATCCAATCGAAAGTAGCGGAGCCGGGCTCCCGCGTCCGGGACTTCATTAAGAGCGGTGACCAGCAGGATATCGAGGTACGTTCAGCTACACTTAGGAGATCGCACATCCGCTCGCGTATCGACGTCTTCTAACTTCTACTATAGAACCGGAAACACGTCCTATTCTACGAGAAACCACCCACCGCTAGAGAGCTCAGAGCTTGGGCTGAGTGGGACAAGAACCTCCCCATCATGCAGGCGAAGTTCGAGGAGTGGGAACAGTTAGCCACGGTACGCAGGCCCCGAAGAATCTCTCAGCGCCATACAAGCTTCCCGTTTCCCGACTTGCCAAGTGAGTTGGAGAGCGATGGCGATGCAGAGACGGAGAGCGATATCGAGATGGAAGACGTGACTGAAGAGGATAGCGAGGCCGCTTCCGAGGACGAAGACGAGGGGGTACAGGGCTAAATTCGCTATGGCCAGATAGTGATGATGGACACAGGGTAATAATGGACAGAGGATGGAATCACCCATCGCCGCGGTGGACTGAGCAACGCCCAAGGTCAGGCAGATGGGTACCGCTAAATGGACGGCGGATGTGGATGGCGGATGTGGATGGCGGCCTAGCATTAGTAAACAGAGACCGAGACAGACTTTCTTTAAGTGCCCATGAGCAGAGGAACGAATAGGAACACATACCTTGCTCACATCACACGATATCATCGATAAGAAAGTACAGAGTGGGGGTACCTCCAGGTCCACGTCGTTATCGCCAACAACTCGCTCACTCGTCGCGTGGTCCAGGTCTTCACGGCCGTGATGGGAAGAGTGGCGGTCATGGCTCAGATAGCTTGGGCAGTAATGGCGGCGATGGGGCCCCGGCGGTCTCGAGAGCCCAGGTCTTCACGGCCGTGATAGGGAAAGTGGCGGTCGTGGCTCAGCCAGCTGACTGTGGCTGTGACGTGTGGGCTACGGCGGCGACGATGGCGGCGATGGGGCCCCGGCGGTCTCGAGAGCCCAGGTCTTCACGGCCGTGATGAGAAAAGTGGCGGTCGTGGCTCAGCCAGCTGACTGTGGCTGTGACGTGTGGGCTACGGCGGCGACGATGGCGGCGATGGGGCCCCGGCGGTCTCGAGAGCCCAGGTCTTCACGGCCGTGAGCCGTCGTGCGCCCTGCCGATGCCAGCGAGCCTCTCCGGGGGTCCGTCACAGCCGTGAGTCAGCCGCCCGGGCCGCCGCTGCATACCATCAGGAGGAGGGGAGGGGGTCGAGGGTCCTCGGTTTTCACGGCCGTGAGCCGTCGGTCGACCGGGGGGGTGGGGGGTGGCCCGCGCCTCACGGCCGTGAAGGCGGCGGACCGCGCGTGCGCCTGCCCGCGCCCACGCTCGCGTACGCGCGGCCTTTTTTTTAGTGTCGGGCCCGTGCACCCGCGCGCCCGCGCACGTACCTTAAGGAAAAGCGGGGCGGGCGCCGAAAAGCGGGGCGGGCGCCGAAGGCGCCCGTTATACAAGCGAAGTAGTAATATTAAAAACCGTAGGTAATATCCTTAAAAATAACGTTATTAACCTCTTTAATACTAACCGTAAGCGCGAGTCTATACTTAGTTTTAATACGCTAAAAGCGAGCTACCTCTACCTCGGGCTTAGGGCCATTATTACTAACGCCCTTAACTATTCCGTTATTATCTTTTTTTTTTTACTACGACCTCTCTTTAGCGTCGTTAACTATTTTTTAATACTTTATATACGTACTTAGGCTCGTACTTCCTAATAACTAGAGCTTACGGGCTCTTATAATATTTATCATTACCCGCGCTATATACCTCAAGAAATTAGTTAATATAGCAAATCGGAGGTCAGTACTAACTAGTAACGCGTTACGTATTATAATTAAGTTAATCCGAGGCTTATCGTACCTCTTTATAATCCTTTTACTATTAATAATTAAAAAGATATTACTAAGTAGCGGGGAGATTAAGTCGTTATTATATATCAAAATTAGCCTATCTAGCCTTTTTACGTCCTCTTTATAGAGGGGTATAACCTTAACCGTCTTAATATCGCAGGCCAGTATATCCTTACCTAGGTACGTAGTACGCCCGTTAAGAAGTACTATTAATATTAATATTCCCTAGCGAATTTAATACTAAGCTAAGGCGTGCTTTATAATAATAAACATAAACTCTATATTAAAACTAAGCATTTTGCCATATTTTATAAAGTTATACGGGTTTAGAAAGTATATTAGTAAGCCGCTTTTTATCGCTATTTAAAAGCCTTCGTACTTAGTAATCTATTATTAGGTTAGTAGCTTTAGCTATACTCCCGAGGCTTCTTCTTATACCTTAGTACCCTCGGTTATCCCTAAGAATAAGTTAATAAGTATACTTAGTTCGATTATTACTTAAGTATCGCGGCGCTTAAACGCGTCGACGTACTTATTATTATAAATTACCTCGAAGTAATCGTACTTAATAGCGCCCGCTACTTAATAGCTAAAAGCGCTATTTTATAATATTAATAAGTATTTATATAAGTCCCTAATACTTAAAACCGTAGGGGTTGCTATAACGATCTAAGTAAAGTACTTCGTAAACTTTTTATATATAATATATACTAAGGAACCCGGGTCTTTTAGTACATAGCCCTCGTTTTCGATAAGGCTAAAAAGGCGGATTTTATATAAAAGGTTAAAGTTTATTTTCTTTATTATTATAGAACTTTTAGGGCGAGTTATACCCTCTATTTTAATATCGCCGTCGTTATTTATTTCTAGGTTCTGTACGTCGTTTTTACTTAGAATATCCTCCTCTTTTTTAGAGTTTTTAAAGTTAGCTATACTTTCCGTAGAGCGCGTATTAATCTTAGCCTTAACGTATTCTTAACGGTCGTTTTTTAAAAGTTAGCGGTTATTAATTATATATAATATTAAAATAATATTTAACGCGGTCTCGGGCTTATTATGCTTAGTTTTTAAGCGGTTAAAGAGCTTAACTAGGCCCTTCGTCTTATTTAAGGTCTCTTTTACCTTATACTTAGGTATAGTCTTCGGCGTTTAGTAAAATACGTATATTTTAAAGAGGTAATAAAAGTTCTTTTTAATAACCTTAAAGGTTTAATTAAGGACGGAGGCTAGTATTATAATAGCTAATAGGTAATACCTCTACTCGGGGTTACCCTCGTACTTTATAACGTAGTAGCGAATAGCCTCTATAAGCGTATATAGCGCTGTTATTATTTTTTTAATACCGTACTTATTAATAAGGATGGCGCTACGGATTAAATACTTAAGCTACTTTAGGAGCTAGTTAATATTTACTAATAATTAATTACGGTTTTAGTAATAATAAGCTAAGAGCTAAGAGAGGGCCTATTTAAGATTTATAAAGGTATATTAGATATATAAATTTTAAATAGGGATTAAATATATTAACTTATTTTTAATCTAATGCGGCTTAAGGACGAAGTTTAGAAAGTCTTTATTAATCGGGTACTTATCCTAAATAGTACCCTCGGGGGCGATTTAGAAACCGGCTATAATACTAACTAAGTCTTTTAGCTCTAGAATATTACTACTTATTAACTAATAAGATTCTTATAACCAGGCTATATCCTCGTCTCTCTTTAGCGCGCTAGCGTTATATATATCGGGGGCTTTTTTACGTAACTCGTTCTAGTCTTTTATTAATTAGTACTTAATAACCTTTTTATTTTTATTTATAGAAACGGTTAGTAGCCAAGTATTACTACTTCTTATCATAAAGAGATTGTTATTAACTCGCTCGTATTTTTAAATATTAATAAAAGTATTAATAGCGCTAATAAAGTAATCGATCTAGGCCTTACTAAGCTTAGCTATAGCTAGCTTAGTACCAGCTTTTTTAATAATATACTTAATTTTTTAACTAGGCTAGAAGAGGCTAAAGACTTTATATTACTAATTTATAATAATTACCTACCTTAAAGTATTTTTTTAATACTTTCTTAAGTCGGAGGAGTAAGTTATTTCGTATTACTCTAACTACTTTTATATTCTTATCTACTCGAAGTTTTTTTTAAAATAGCAATACTTATTATCCTCGGTTTTTAATTTAGAGCCGTTATTATTATTATCTTTAGTAACTACTAGTACTTATTCTATTTCGATAGAGGTCTTAGAGGCAATTTACGCGCTAGTTAATTCCTAGTTACCTCTCTCTATAACTTCTTTTATATTATAAAACCCAGCTTATATTACCGTTACGGTTTAGGTAGTTTTGCAGGTCTAAGTAACGGGATCGGTATTATAGTACTAATATAAAAAGAATATAAACGTAAAGTACGTACGTATTTAGTCCTCGTAAAAATAGCCCTAAATAAAGTATTTAGGGTCTTTTAGTAAGCGTTCTATTTTTATATTTCCTTCTTATTCTCTAAATACGTTAGGGAAGTAAATTAAAAGAGCTTATATATATATAGCGACGCTAGCTTTTTAAGCTACTTCGTTATATATTACGTTCTTATACTTATTTATAGGGAGGATATTAAACTCTAGGTTTTTAATAACGAAGAGAGAAGGGTACTTTTTTTTATACTAAGTTTTGAGCTTAAAACGGGGGTAGTATATTAGCTTATAAACGTAGTCTAGGACTTAGTTCTTATTAAGAACTATAGGAGTAGGCCTCTTTACTTTTTTATTATCCCTATCGGGCTACGCCGGCTCGTTTATATTAGCCTAGGCTAAGTAGGTTTTAAAATAAGGCTTTAAAAAGTATTAGAGGACTTAAGTAACTTTACTATATTAATACTTAGTAATAAAGAGGCGGGGGCGCTATTTAAAATTAATAAAACCCTAGCTCAGAGTTTTATAAATTTTAAATAGCGCCGCTACGATAGGGTAAACTTATTATAGAGGTCAAAGAATTCGTTTAATTTATATATCTATATTAATTCGAAATAAGGTAATACGAAATAGCCCCTAAAAAAGTTATAATTATTTACTACGAATAAGGCCTATACCTTAATAAGACCCGTTTTATATAGTCGTTTATTAACGTCCCTCTTAGTATTACAGAACTTAGCTATTAAGCTAGGGCGCGCTTTTTTTAACGTACCTAAAAAAAAGTAAGTTCGGAATTTAAATTTACCTCATATAACGAAGTCTTTATAATAGAGCTTTTAAAAAAAAGGGAGCTTAAAAAACTAAGTATCCGCGTTTATATTATACTTATTTAGCTCTTCCTTCTCTTTTTTAAAAAACCTAGTCTTAGTAATAATAAGTACGAACTTTTAGGGCTTTAATAAGCAAAACTAAGTAGGGATACGGCCTATAATAATATTTAAGTAGTTTGCGTTAATAATATCTACCTTATTAATAGCCTAATCGTCGTCTTTATTAAGTTCGGGACCTAATTCGCTCTTATTATAAGAATCGCTCTCGTTATTATTAAGTACGTCTTTTTTAGCTACGGCTAGATTTATACTCAATTAG